TACCCAAATAACGCCGAGAAAAAAACGCAAAATTTTAAATAAAAAAATTTAAAAACATAAAAAAAAAAAAAAAACAAGATAAAAAAAATTTACAAGATTCCTTATTTAGTAAAAAAAATTTTTTTTAATACCAAATGCGAAACCACCCTCCAAATGTATGTATAAAAAAAAAAAAAAAAGAGAGATGTGTGTATGTAAACAAAAAAAAAAATGCCTGATAAATGCATAAATGCACCGAAACCCTAAAATACCCTTTAAACGACATTGCATATATAGTATGTGTGTAAAATAACCTTGTTAAAAAAATAACCTTGTTAATTTTCACATAATAATGAATTTACGCTCATCCTAGCAACGGATGTAGAATCTGATTCAGTTCCAAGTGAATTTACATGAGACTTGGAATCACGTTCATCATTTGTTAACGATGAAAATTGAGAAATTGATTGGGTAGTATCATGTATGTGATGATGATGATAATGTGATGGACGATCAATATGGTTATGATCGAACGAAGAGTCTATAATAGGTTTAGAATCCATATCATGATAATATATAGTATTATGAGTAGATCTACTCGATAAAGATCGTCTATCTGATAACACCGATGATGATGAAGAAGAAGATTGAGATGAATTAGATTCATGAATATTTTGAGAGATTGGATTAAATGAAGTTAAATAATGGGAAGTTCTTTGAAGAGAATTTGGAGGATGATGATGATGATGATGAGGAGGAGGAGGCGGAGGAGGAGTCTCTATATAAATAGATGATGGATTCAAATCTGATAAACCTTGTTGTCTTGGTGATAATATTGGACTTAAAAGTCCGAATTTTCCTGTACCTATATTTATATTATCATTCGACATGGTAAGTAAAGCGGGGTCGATAGTAGCGACGGTAGTAGGGATTGGAGTGTTCACTGATGAGAAACCATTAATACTATTAATATTACTATTAATACTATTATTAATATTATTATTATTAATATTATTATTATTATTATTAATACCATTAATTCTTGATTGAGCGTAAGGGTTACAGTCATTCTGTACGCAAGCACCACTTTTAACTCTAGTGAAGAAAGCGACAATATATAACCTGTTCAAAGTATCTTTACGCATTAAATCAGCACCAAGACCTCCTCCGAGGTAAGTTTTAACATTATATAGATCAAATTGACCATTTCTTTGTTTTAAATGAATCATATCAGCAGCCTCAATTAAAGTACTACCACCAGCAGGACATTGTAATTGTTCAGGACTTGTATGATTAAAACCCGGATCATCAGTTGTAACAAGAGAATCAAAAGGGGTAGTAGATTGATAAGAAAATTGATGTGAAGGTTGAATATTATGATTATATCTATAAGCATTATCGACCAAAGAGTCGATTAGTTTTTGTAATCTATCACGATCTGTAGATGGGACATAATCAAATAAAGATTTATCCACCAGTTCACCAGGATAATAGCCCATTATGCCTAAACATTCATCAGAAACTTTAGCACAATGAGCACCATTAATAGTTAAGAACATAGTAATGGTAGGAGGAATTTCTGAAGATAAAGGGATTTGAGATCTTGAAGTAGGTTGATTAATAAAAGGAGAATGATTAAAAGGTATATGATGTCTTGCAGGAGGAGGAGAACGATAATAAGGAGGGGAAGGAGCAAAAGAAGAAAAAGAAAGTTGATTATTTTGTGAAGGAGAAGGATCGAATTGACGCTGAATTCGAGAAGGGATAGGATTTGTAGTAGTAGGAGGAAGAAATTGAGTATTTGATACCCAAGTTTTTGCATCACCAGTAGCATGAGTATTGTACGGGTGAGGTTTCTTATCCTTTAATTTTGGACGACCGCGTTTCTTATGTTTAATGTCGATACAGGTATCAACTTTATTAAGAGCCACGCATCGTTTACAAGGTCTAGATACTAGAAAAATTTTTAAGGAAAACAATTTAATAAATAAATAAAAAAATTTATATAATAAAATATAATAAATTTATGAATTAAAAATTTCGGAGATAACAAAATTCTCCGATTAAAAAAAAAAACTGATCCAAAAATCAGGATAGATGAAAGAGAGAGATAATTAAAACTCCGAATAATCGAACAATTTTTTGGATCAATTTTAAAATTTAATTTTTAATTCAATTAATTCGCGTAAAAAAAAACATACCGTCACAAGCGAGGTGAGCACGCTTACAGTTGACACAGGCACTAGGTACGTGGGTTTTATTAGTTCGTTTCATAACACTACTTCCGTTATCGTCGTTGGATAAATTTGTATTCGCTAATCTCATTGAACCACCAGTATTGGATTGTTTCGAGGAATCAGAATCAGTAGTAGTTCTAAGTCTTGAAGGAGAAGAAAATGAAGTAGAACACGACGATTGAGAAGGCATATGCCCAGAAATAAAAAGACTTTGAGACTGTTCAACGTTTAATAACGGTGTTGAGTGTTGTTGGTCACTTAACGAATAAGAAGAATGTGATAAAGACGGGAGTTGTCGTTCAACTTGTATTGGTGTACTCATGCTTTTTTATACACTTTTTTTTTTTTTTTTTTGTTTTTTTTTAAAATGATAATATATATATATAATCGAATTTATTATTTTAATGCTCTTTTTTTTAAAAAAAAAAATAAATAAAAAAAAAAGGGGGG